AAGAAGTTTTCAGCCATTTTTACCTGTGTGTTTGTTACTTCCTACTTGTTAGTGAACGTACAAGACGACCAAATCAGAGAGACCACCGGCTCGAGAAACTCTCATGTTGTGAATATCACGGAATACACAATGAAAAGTAAGGTCTCGCCACCTTTTATTTATCTCACGCAAACTGAGCAATGCCTTACACCAAGTCTAATCCAAACTCTGGAATTAAGCGATGCTTCGAAATGTCGTTGCGATGTCATCGTTTTGAGTTATAAAACTGAATGCCGAGAAAAGAGCGCACCACACATCACGTACTTGTTTGGCAATGAAACAACCTGGGGTTCCGGTCGAAATCAGCTTTATTTCCAAGCAGTGCAAAGAAGACTTGACTACCTCTATTATATCTTCCTCGATGATGACATCACTCTGAAGTTCAGCGAGGCAGCAACTCCAGAAATGAAGCGACTCACTCCAATCAGCGTTTTTCAAGACTGGCTTCTGGATTACGAGCCCGCTGTAGGCGTAGGTGATTACGAAGGACATGATGGATCAAGTACGCTCCGTTCAAGAATGCGACGGGTTTGCAATAAAAGGGTTGATAAAAAAACCACGCTTGCAAATCCCACCATATTATTCGACCCTCTGTTTAATGCGTTCCACGCCAAGGCAGTAAGCCATATATTTCCGATGGAAATCAGCCACGAAGAACGCAACTGGTGGCTCACAGATAAGTATGTTGCCTCAGTCGTTGAGTTGAAATTTCGCGGACAAGCGCTGATGTTTTTCCCAGTAGCTGTAGTGAACTTACTACATCGCCCTTATCCACAATCATCTCATGGAACTAACAAAGCTTGGCAAGGGTTTATTGAAGCTATTCAGGAGAGAGCGCCTACTCAATTCAAATACCACGCTTTATTCAGGACATTTCGCAGAAGTCCAAGAGTTTACATACAAAGATCGCGGACATATTGCGTGGAAATAATTCGTCACCAGGACATCACGCCTTTTGCACACTTTGCATCTCGCCGGACAGTCAGAAATCAAGCGAGGTTCTCTTGAATCTTTTATCTATTAGTTTAAATGATAATGTCGCGCAAATTTTTATTCATTTTTCAAGATTTTTGAAATTTCAAGTGGGAGTCTATTCAGTTTTTGATATTACTGTACAAAGTTCTTAACCCGTTTTGTTTATTAGTTTATTTAGTTACTTAGTTTTGGAATACGAGCACCAAGTTTTGTAAAGATTTTCAGTACTATAAAGTAAGGTGGTTTATATAAATCATGTAAAGAAATAAGTCACACAAGAAACATAGAACAAAGCGTATCAATTTGTTATATTGGTGTTATGATTACAACGTAAGTAGTTTACAATGTATCTTGACGTCGTTTGACGTCAGGATTGAGTAGTAATTTTATGGTACTATTTTAAGTAACAAACAAGTTTGCGGTTGATTCGTTAATTGCCATTGTTTTAAAATTCTCCAGAACTTAAATGCCAACTGGGGTAATTTCAGCCTTTGTGTGAAAAGATGACTCTTGGTACCTCAAAGGCAACCAGCATCACATTTCATGATTATAAAGCCCGGTAAACATCAAAGGAGCGAAAAAAGATGGCCAGATTTATGTTGAAAGGTCCACCACCGTGCAAATTCTTTTTGTTTTACGCCATACACTATGATGACCAAGTAACCAGAACGTTTCTATTGATTAGCTCCTCGGTCAGAACATATTTAATAGAGGGGATTCGGCAAACATCAAAGGGGCCGAAAAGTTGCAAAGATTTATTTTGGAAGCCCCACGCCCGGGGTCCACGACGTGCAATATAGTTTTAAGCTTGTGCTTCGGCTTCGGGGAAATTTTTCTTGCGGGACACAGCGCGTAAGATAGCGTCATCTTGCCCTCTCGGGTAGCCAATCACAGTGTAGGATTTGGTTCATCTTGCCCGCTCACGGACCTTGCCGTGTAATAAAAAAATTTGTTACATAGCTGGCGTTTTTCCCACCACAGCGCGCCCAGTCATTGGCTAGTTCATGGTCACATGACATCTAACAATGAAACTGTTTCCCGCCAAATTCCATGAGCGGGCAACATTGCGAAAACTATGACGTTAAGGGCCCATTAACCGATTTATGCGCGCGCTCGCGTGCGTTGCTAAGGAGGTGAAATTTCACTTCCGGTTACTTACGTCAGCCTGAGCGCAGA